GTCCTTAATGGAGAGTCAAATGAGTTTAAAAAGGGAGGTAAATCTGTCCCAAGCATAATTCTACAGATGTTGGTTTAGCAGTATGAAAAACTCAGTTCTCCAAACCATGGGAAGATGGATACTGCAGATTGCTTTTGAGACACCTTCCTCACACAGAAAACTCCTGAAAGGAGCAAACGTAATGGTTACTAACAACAAAGAAGACAGAGAAATACAGAAAGTGTGAAGATTTTAACTCAGAAGATGAGATTTGAGCAGACTCATTGCTCTGTGATATCATGGTGTGAGGATGGAAGATGTTCACTATGCCATAAATAACCCAAAAGAGCTACAGATCCTCCTGTTTCAGAAGTCCAGGTTCCCAGTAATGATCAAGAGATTTTTTTTTTTTTTTTTTTTGCTGTTTGAATGTATTACATTTCAGTTTTTAATAATTTGTTGGCTTCTTTTTTCTTCGTTGTTTTCATCTTAGGAGGAGGTACAGAGATTCCCAGCCATATCCTCCATCTGGCAATATTTCTGGGATAGGATCTTTGCAGCCATGTGCATTTCTTTCACCATGTGTGGTGGCATCTCAGTTTTTCTAGTTTTTTATGCTTGCTACTCTCTAGTTTGAGAAACATTTTTTCTTTGCCCTGTAACATCACAGCTTCTTAGTTCCCTTTTGGTGAAGGACTTTCTCAAGTCATTTTGAGATAAATTAGATTAGCAGATTTCCTCGTACTTGTTTGCTGATAAAGGAAGAGTGTTCTTTTGTCACCTAGGGAACAGAAAACAGAACCAACCCTATTATAGCCCCTAGTGTTCAGACTGGCCTGTGCTGCCTCTTTCATCTGGCAGCAAAGGACAGCTCACCTGCTTTGTTTTATTTTCTCCTCATCACTTTTTTCAGTGGAGTTGGAGGGAATCGTAGAAGTGGAAGAAAAGATGTCTGGTGTTCCCTCTGCAAGTAAAAAACATTCTGAGAAAGGACTGACCTTTGTCAGTGCCAGGAGATGAAGCAAAACAGAATGGCCAGTCAGCTGCTGAGGTGGTATATTGACAGTAATGTCTCTACAGGCCGGACTGAAGTGAGTTTAAGTGCAGGGGAAACCATATGAGACATTAATAACTCTTGTCTGTGTTCTAGCCCAGAACCTTACACCAGTGCTGGGGTGTTGGCTGAAGGGGTTTTTTGACTTGTGCCTGTAGTACCTGGCAAAGTTGTTCCAGCCAGTACTGCAATCAGAAACATGAAGAGAAGAATAATCACTACTGGGCTTTTTTGGATTTAGCAGCTGAAATTCCCTGCCCTTAGTACATGGCTACAAACCCCCTCCTGCTGTGACACCCAGCACAGACCAGGTGCCCAGGCTATAACCTATGTCATCAAGACTTGCTGGCAGCAGACAAAGAGCAGGAGGTGCAAGGAGCTCAGCAGGACCGCTGCTCTGCAGCCCAGCCCCTGGCTGTAGGAAGTACTACAAGACCAAGCAGATGTGCTGTAGGCAAAGGTCTTCAGGTAACAATGAAGTATTTAACAGCCCATGTGTAAGCAGACAGAGGTTTGTGAAAACTAAGCCATGAGCATTGTCTGTGAAGGAGTCAGCTGTGATAATTACTTCCCATGTTGTTTCTGTGCCCCAGGGGAGGATCCTTGTGCAGGAGCCTGCTCACCTACAGAGTGCATTCAGTCCCATGTGTTAGGATTTTCTACTGGACAATTATGCCATCTCCTCTTGGCTTCTGGATGACCACATCCCTTTAGTGCTGATGCTGCTCTGCCACGGTCAGGTGCCATGCTGTCACCCCTTACTGTTAAAAAGCCATGCTGAGTGAAAACCTTGAACTCACAGATCTGTAAACTGTGGGTGAACAGGTTGTCCTCCAGACAACCAGATGGAAAGGTCTGAATAGTCTTTGAAAGGAAGGAGTTGCTATAGAGGGACAGAACTGTGGTATCATGAGAATGAGTGCCAGAAACACTTCTGAGACGATGACTGAAGCTGCTCTCAGGAAAAAGAGAAGCGACAAAGCACGTGTGTGTGGTTCAGGTCTGATCCCTGCTGATGTTCCATAGCAGGATCAGTGCAAGAAGGTCCAGTGCTGTAGAGTTTGGGCAGGGAAACACATCCAGATGTAAGGTGGGAAGTGATGTAAGCTGGGCAGTGCAGAGTCTACAGGCAGAGTCACTGTCTAGAGAG